GCGACAAATTTTTGCGAAGTGTCCGCGTTTTGCGCATTTTGAGCAAATTTTATCTTTTGCCGGACATGATTGTAGATGGTTCAGGCCATATTGATTCCTACACTTATAACATTTTCTTGAATTTGCGTTTCGTTGTTGTTGATGCTGTTGACCTCTTGTGTTTTGTGATCCATGTGGATACGGTCGGCCGCAAAAACCACCCCGACCTCGCTGATGGTTTTGATTGTATTGTTGATTTTGTCTGCCACGTATATTTACGTAATGAACTGGCTCTTATTTTGTAGTCACTGTTTGGCCTCCGATCGGATTTATTTTCATTGTACGACTGTGTTCTATCCCTTTTTCTTGTCGTATCGCGTACTCGTATGCCTCCTGCGGGCTACGTGTTTGTGCCAGCAAATCTTCTGCAATTTTTTCATTGTTCAAGTGAGCGGGAAACATATCCTTTACCCACTCACTTTCTCGGTCGCCGCAGTCAGCCCTTGAAGCTAGTTCCACTAGATCAGCATGAAATTGTCCTAAGCTTTCGGCTTTCTTTTGTTTTTGACAGATAAAATTATACCTCTCAAAAGCTATAATGCGTGTCGTGACGAATATATCTTCTAAAACAGTCGTGAATTCTAGTGTAGTTACCGTGTGTAGTTGAAAATTCGGTCGTTTTTTTTTTGAATTTGGCGATGTCCTTCAGCGTCGAGACACAAGAAAAGATAGCTGCGTACTTTTGCGTCCGCTTCGTCCCATCTGAATGAGTTACACAAAACTCCTTTTTCACGAATTTTGATCACGTGATTTTCCCAGCCCACTCTTTTCTCCTGATTACGTACCTCTGGGTTTTTCCTTTGGGCTTCCGTTTCACCGGTTGTTTCCACTTCATATACTGGTTCAGATGGCTCTACTAGTTGCGGTCTTGTTCGTAAAAGGTTTCGAATTTCGAAGCCGTCTTTTGCGAATACTGCCATTTCCAGTATTTCCGCCCATTTTGTCCACTCTAATGGGGGTTCGGCCGATGCTCGTTCCCAGAATGGATTTATGTTTAGCGGGATCTTCAAAAATCCTGTTGGTTGCGCCATGTCAAACTGCTAAGTCCTCAAGGTATGAATTGCTTATTCCTGAATTCGTAAGGATAGATAATCTCAGACGCGAGAGAGAGAAGTTAAAAGAACTAGTTAATGTTAACGTTAATTCTTCTCTGAACCGTAGTTCACTTTGACCGCCGTTCTCGTCCTCGCTATCAAGGTCAATCGACCAGTACACATTAACGTTACATAATATCAAAAGATAAATGATGTATAAATACATAATAAGTTTTATATGGAGTTTTATCTATCCATGCGTGATGACACGGTCAAAGAGTAGACAACCTTATTTCAAACTCATAAAAAAGTAGAAAAATATTGATTTCGAGTAATCAAAATTGAGTGGAAAAAACGAACGTATGCAAGAAAAATTAGGAACTATTTTGAACGTTTTTCTTGTCTCGATTCTGATTGGATAATAATCATAATAATAATTATAAATTAGTCTCCAAGTATATGCAAACAAATATACTTGGGAGAACGTCAAAGGCGTTTGGTCTGTCGAGTGACGCCACAAGAGCAAAAATAATTAAGCTAATCAAAAAAGCCTAAAATTTATAATTATTTCATTACACAAAAATGCCTATCTAAACCCAAAAAAATAAGAAAGAAAAACAGAAAACATTTTGTTTATTTACAAGTTGATTGTAGAAAGCCAAATAAAAAATAAAGAACACTCACCTGAATAAATCCAAAACGTTTTTTTATTATCTATCATACAAAATTCTCGAAACTGATTGCATTAAGTTTTCCACAACTTTTTGGGTCGTTGTTGTCCTTGTGTCCACTAAAATTGATTTATCAAAATTTTTCAAAAAATTTTTAAGAATTTCTGATCCCGAAGCTAAAGGTTCTGTTTTGATAGGTATCGGCTTTTGTCTTCGACTTTAGCCCTTTGTTCTTATTAGTCCATAAAAAGCAGGGCTCAAACTCTTCCACATGTATACAACTGTAATGCTGTTAAAAGTGTGTTGTTTTCTCAATGCTTTCAGTAATATTTTCATTAGTTCATATATGTGAAGTTCACTACAAATAAATAATTTGTATATTTTTTTCACTATTCGTAGAGTGTCCAGTTTCTTAGGTTAAAAAGAATTCGTAAAATTCTGTTCTGCGCTATTTCAAAATTTTTTAAATCAATTTTATTTGCCAGACCATATAACAGCACTCTATATTGTGAAACTGGTTGAATGTAATCCTTACGTAGTTTTAGAAGAGATTTTTGACTCAAAACAGAGTTTTTAGTGATAGTTTTTGCCCGCGTGTGATGATTTATTAGGCAATTTATAATTGTTTGTTTTTAAGAGTGTTGTTTAATAAAATCTCTAGATATTTCATTTCAGTTTTTCGTTCTAATGTTTTGTTTTTCAATTTGATTTTACAGTTTAATTTTGGCTTGAACAGGAGAACTTTAGTTTTACTTTCAGTTACTGTAAGTTTATTGCTCTCCATCCATAACGACTTGCGCTGTTATTTGTCGGACCTTGATTTACCTCCATCTTAACAGTTCCAAACAATGTTGTCGCATCTGCGAAAATGGTTAGTTTGTAATTGGTACGTACTTAGGAAGATCGTTCACATGAAGCAAAAACAGTAGCTGACCAAGCACCGAATTTTGGGGCACCCCACACCCTATCGAACGTATCTGTGATAACTGCTTTTCAATATCAACATATTGGATTTTGTCTTCAGGATATGACTTCAGAAATCCATGAAATGCGTATCTAAAGCCATATCGATGACATTTTTCAAGAAGAATTGAGTGATCAACGTATCAAGTGTTTTGGACAAACGAAAAAAGGTAGATGCGACATCATCTTGAGCTGATAAACGTTTGACAATGGTCTCAATAACATTCAAAAATACACTACCGTTGATTTTTTTTATTGATATCCAAACTGATTTGGCGTTAAAACTTTTTGCGATAAATTAATTTTTTAAATTCTGTTACAGATTAGTTTTTCAAGCACTTTATTGATTACCGAAAGAGGAGAAACTGGTCTGCAGTTTCCACACTTATCTTGGTTTCCACTCTTGAAAATCGGCATTAATCGGGCAACTTTCACAGCTCGAGGAAAGTGCTGCTGCTCAAAGCAACGATTGAACAGCCTGGCAAGATAACTACATAAGGCGGTATTTCTTAATTTCAACAGAAAATTATTATAGCCTTCACAGCCCGCTGATGTTTTTTTTCAACGTTATATAACGCAAAAATTTTCGTGAATGCTTGCTTTCTGAAAGAACATTGACTCAGTCACTGTGTTTACGGTTTCTAAATTCCCTAGATTAAAAAATTAGTCGTTCGTGTTACCGGGATCGAACTCTGCTCTCTGATTAGTGTGAACATCAACAATTTCTTTGGCGAACTGGACCAAACTTTTTGAACTGTCCTTTGATTGATCTGTAGTGTTTTCGTACTAAGTGGTTTAAATCGTCTTGATTAACACTTTTGGTTGATTTTTACAGTTTAAAAACGTTTCCCAAGCTCCCTGAGATCTTTCACTTAAACACGTTCATAAAGATCTTTTTTTCTTGCTGCTGTATTTTTCCTCCGATTGTTCGCGCAACCAGGATGGAAAAAATTTTCTTTTTATTTCGTTCATTGCTGATAGTAAACTTTCATTTAATTTAGAAGTTAGGTCATCAATGAAACAAGAGAAAATTTTGCTTTCCATTGACTAAGTTTTTGTGAATCAAAAAATAGAGGGCAGTTTTTTTTCGATTGGGTCTGTTCAATTTCTTTAAGCGTGAAAAAGTCATTTTTGTTCTTTTCACTCAAAGCCTCTTCAGTTTTGAAATATAATACCTGATGATTTGATAATGCGGTAACTATTGTTCCAGCTGATCTAGGAAAACTTTCTGAAAAAAGCATCTATATAGATCTGTCAATTAGCTGTTTCTCTAATTGAGTTGCCCTTTAACTTGTCCAATTTGGCTGCAATCCTCGAATTTATGGTCTGTTCACATGTTTTTTTTGTGATTTTGTTGTCTTCAATCATATATATAATTATATCTCCGCAAAGTACGTGTTTGCAAGTAGTTCGGCTTTTTTTACACTCAGCATCTGTTCTTTTAGAAAGTTTCAAGTTTCATCTATTCCAACGTTTGCTGATTCGTAAGACACAGTTAAAATCATTTTTTCCCTCTCTCAATACTTTTACTGTAAAAATCAAATTTGTTAATGATGGTTTGTAGTCCACTTTATGATTTGATAATCGTGTTGTCTTTTGAAATATATCCCTTTGCCCCCATGTCTTTTTGCTCTACTGCATGCAGTAATTTTTTGATAACCATCAAGAACTAGCGCATTTTCGTTTGAATTTTCGTTGCGCCATGTCTCTGTTAATGCTTTTGCAACTGGTTTGCTTTCCGGTTCTGAAAGAAAAACTTTCAATTTACTAAAATATCTATATAGTGATCTAATATTTTCTTGAAGAACGAGCCGAGACATGCACTTTTTAAGAGTAATCAATCCGTTTTGTCCCCAGTGCGATTTCTTTTTCAATTTTCTTTCCGTTTTTTCCCTAATTTTGTTGAGTTTTGTATAGAATTTGAGACGAATTTGTAGTCTTACCGCGAAAGTCGGAGTTTAACCTATTGAGATTCTGACAAAACCAAGAACTCACACACTCACACACACACACACACACACACATGTATTTCAAAACTTATACGCATGTCTTCTGATGTCTGCCTGAAGCAACACCGCGGAAGTCGCATTTAAGGCTTCAAACTCATTCTGATTAGTTGATTATTTTTTTTTCTTCTTTTTTCTCCTTTTTAAAGAAACTTCATAGAAAGAATTTATACATATATATGTAGTAATATTCTAAGATAATAGGATAATATAGTATTAGTCTACTTTCTGGCCTGTGTTTTATAAGTACGTAACCGAATAAAACATCCATGGCGGGTGTTTTGTACCTGTTGGGAGGAGTGTACTTGTTGAGAAATGAGAGGGCACAGTAGACTCTTTTCCGCTCGAACTTGTCTGTGATTCCCAGGATGGATTTGAACTCATTTTGCTTCACACGCAGCAATGTCTATAAAACGAGAAAGTATATATAATTGGAAAAGAGATAGTTCCGCTGTTGGTAGTTTTTTAAATTAGTTTACAATAAGGCCTACAATTTTCTTGTCTGGGAGAGCCCCATTGGACCTACAAGTCCATTCACAGGTGTCTCAAATAAATAGGTGCTCGAATATAGCCACCAACCCCAGAGATAAATTGTAACTATGGCTTTTAAAATCCAACTGATTATCCGTGGATGGGGTAGACTAATGATAAGGCAGTATGTATAATTAATGCCAAATTGTTGGCAATATCGATGACCTTGAGCAGTTTAATCGGTCAAAAACTATAGCATTTTAGGTTGATTAGTTTTTTGGACCTGGTTCTTACGTGTGGAAATCAGTGAAAACAGAAATCCGACGTCAAAATGAGCAGTTTTAGGTTAACGAATTTCGTTCAGATTCGTTGACCGAAAATGATATTGCCAATACTAACAGGGGCATCCTTGACATTTTTGACAAAGTTGGCGATCACGTGTTCGTTCACTTTGAGGTCAAATTTGAGCCACTCGTGCGTAAAATCTGAGGACCACGTGGAGATGTGGGTGTCGAGTTTGACCTTGACAAAGTACTCTGAGGATGGTTGCTGTTGTTGCATGCTGGAAAGAGAGGTAGATTGACCCTGCTGCTGATTGTGCGCGTCTGATAGAGACAGGTTGTCTATGAACATACAAACAGAAACAATTTAGATCTTTTTTAGACAGTTTGAAAGCCTCATAGATCTTTCGATTCTTCAGAAAGTATGATTTTTTGGTGGTGAGTTCCGCACAAATGCGCACCAATGTTGCTTTAAAGTATTGAAAAATGAATTCTGTCAACACTGGTATTAGACCATGGATTCCGTCAAGACAATGATATTAGATCATGGATTCCGTCAAGACAATTATAATAGATCATGGATTTCCTCAAAATCATTATAAAAGACAATAAATTCCGTGAAGACAAAAATATTAGATCATGGATTCCATTAAGACCATGATATTCAACTATGACATCCGTCAAAAACATGATATTAGACTATGAGTTCCGTCAAAGTCATGATATTAGACCATGAGTTTCGTCAAGACCATGACATAAAGCCAGAGATTCCGTCAAGATAATGATGTTAGATCATGGATTCCGTCAAGATAATGATATTAGACCATCAATTCCGTCAAGACAATGATATTAGATCATGGATTCCGTTAAGACCACAATACTAGACCATGGATGCCGTCAAGACAACGATAATAGGCCATGTATGCCGTCAAGACTTTGATATTAGACAATGGATTTGTCAAGACAAGTATATAAGATCATGAATTCCGTTAAGAAATGATATTAGACCCTGGGTTCTGTCAAAACCACAATAATAGACCATGGATTCCCTCAAGATCATGATATTGGACAATGGATTCGTCAAGACAATGATATTAGATCATGGATTCCGTTAATACCATGATATAATACCATAAATTCCGTCAAAACTATGATAATAGACAGCGAGTTCCGTCAAGACTATGACATAAAGCCATGGATTCCGTTAAGACAATGGTACTAGATCATGGATTCCGTCAAGACAATGATATTAGACCATTAGTTCCGTCAAGACAAGGATATTAGACCATGGATTCCGTCAAAACTATGATAATAGACAGTGAGTTCCGTCAAGACTATGACATAAAGCCATGGATTCCGTTAAGACAATGGTACTAGATCATGCATTCCGTCAAGACCATGATGTTAGACCATTGGTTTCGTCAAGACCATGATATTAGACCATGGATTCCGTCAAGACCATGATATTTGACAGTGGATTCTGTTAAGACCATGATATTAGACAGTGGATTCCGTCAAGAACTTGGTATTAGAACACGGATTCTGTTTAAGGTTATACCATCTGTTCCATAAAGAGAATGATTAAACAAAAAAAATCAATTGTGGAATTCACGACAACCAGAGTTTTTTTCGCTGATACGAGTTCGATGGCAAATATCGCTAGCAGAAAACTAATGCCTAGTGATGCGTTTGTAGGAAAAACTCCGAACGGCTTATCAATCAAAAGGAACTGGTTTCTGGTTCCATTAAAAATGGGAATTAAGAATTGCATTTGAATCAGCCAAATGCAATTCTTGCTTCCCATTTTTAACGTTTTTTATTGATAAACTGTCGTCTCCTTTTCTCGAGTTTGGCCTATCCTAGGCCCCTGTTTGGCTTTTAATGAGAAATACGCGGAATCAACAAACAACAGTCATTATAGAAAAATATTTTTAAAGGAATAACCGCTCATCAAATTATTAAGATAAGTCAATTAAAATTCAACAAGTTAAACCATTTTTTTCTTGCAGATACATTTCAGAATTGTTCATTCATTCAAAAGGAGTTTATTAAAATCTATTGAAGTTTGTGAAAAACATGCTTTAACACGACTTACACACTGATGACGAAACCGAATGTCGTCTCGTGTCTCTCGGAGTCCGAAGAGCTGCTTCGAAGTTAGACCCCGCGACACTCGCGCGGCCGGGTCTCGGAGTCTGAACAGTGCTGAAATGATTCGGACTCCTCATTGGGTCGAAGGCTCCCATAGTCGAATAGGAACCAGCTGGACCAGCACTTGAATGTCGGTTTTTCGTCCTAATTCCCGTTGCTCCAGATGCAGCTAGAAGGGCAAGTCTGTCGTGCTGGAGTGAGTTCGTTGGGAAGGGACTGAAAGCGGCGATCTGTTCTGCCGAAACTGACTTCTGACTTGTGAACGGAACTGGAAGCTGTATTTCAAAAAGGACTTATTCAGCGATTATTATTTACAATTTTGTTATAAGTTACGAATTCACCTTTTTACAATGAGAAGGGGGTCTTCAACAGATTTGTATTCATAAGCCAACTTGCAGCATTATGTATGTTTACCTGGCCAGGGTGATTTGGCATTGGCTGCGTGTAGTATGGATTGTATGAGGGGTGCATCATTGGGTTAGTGTGATGGGGGTGGGACTGGTTCATCATGAGACTGGTTCCCTCGGAGGAGTAGGGGGAGGAGGTGGTGTCAGTGACATTGGGGTTGAAGGGGGCGGAGCCCAGAATGCTAGTCCCCGAGGCAGACATACTGGGGGTCGAGTCAACATCTGGAGCAAAAAATACAAAAAAAATCACTTTTAAATATTCAAGTTTCTAGTCGAAAAAATAGTCATTTTACAGCATATGATGAAGGAGTTCCAATGTTTTTTTTATCAATTCATATCATCAGAGCATCATTTGTATGAACATAAAAGTTTGAGAACCTTTCGAATTGAATTCTGTGGTTGATATCGAGTAAAGTGTTAAAATTATTGCAATAAGTTTTAGTGATAATTCATGTAGTTTTGAAGTTTGAAATTTAACAAACCTGTGTTGGCGCAGGAAGACTTCTTTGAACCCATAGGGGTGTCTTCAAAATCAGCCTCCACATCCAGACTTCGAATCCCTGGAGCCACTCCGTTCTTCCCAGATCCTCGTCCCTTCATTCTTTGAGATCCAGAGCCTCCCAAAAAGTCCCCGCTTTTATCCTGGTCCATTGAATGCTGAGATGACACGTTTGACCTGTACTTCGAAGAAGGACCCAAAACTTTAGTAGATTGAACAGGAGTCGTGACATCTTCAAGAGGCGCAAGATGAGAACCAACAGAGTCCTCGTCGTCATTTTCGTCGGGATCCTGGTATGCGTTCCTCCGTCTGTTCGCTTGAGATTGTACAATAGATGCTGTTTTAACATGTTTGGGAGTCCACGGATTCTGTTCTACAAAGCCCATTGGGATTTGCTGAAGACTTCCGCCCTGAAAATCAATCTTCAATTCAAAAAAAAAATTGGCCATTCTTTCAATCCTAGAATGGTGTGCGCGAAGGACTTCTTTGACAGGGTGGGTTTTTAAACTTTTTTGGGCTTTTCTAGCAGACATCTGAACTCTGGGACTTTTGGAAGCCCTGCCGACCAAAATGTTCCCCCCTTTGTACTAACTTGAGATATCCATTTTGGTTGACGGACCCTAAAATTTTTCTTAAGGCGCCTTTGGCGCCAATATTTACTAATTTTGAGGGAAAGCACGCGCCGAAAAAAAAACGATTATTTGGTCAAAATAGGCTTCACGCAATTCTCGGCCCATGTGATTAATCTCCCAGCTAAAATTAAATGGCAAAATTTTCAATTTGTCATTGACCGCCGCAAAATTGGGACAATCACGCAGTGAAAGAAGCAAAATATTGCTTCATTTTAACTGAATGGCAATTTTTTACTCTCTAAAAATTGACTTCCGGCTAATTTTGTCTTGTTTTTTTTGCCCATTCGGCCCTTTGAGCATGAGAATAACCTCCGATTAAGTTTTACTCATGTACTTCTTGTCATATTGTTTTATATAATTAAGATCCAACTCAAAAGTGTCGAATCTCATCAAAAGTTTCTATTAAAAAGTTCTAGGAAGGAACTTTGGATTCGGGTGTGCTTACAAGTAGTCAGAAAATGAAACCCATTACCATTTTATAACTTTTACGCCTTTTTGAATCTTTGAACTTTTTTCATAAATTCAAATTATACTAAAAAGTGTACATTAGGTTATCAGCCCCTGCAATGATGTTTGAAGTCCAAAATATGAAGCAATCGTTTTTAATATGTTTGTCCTCACTGTGAAATGAATGCATTATACTCTGTATTATACAACGCAAAACGTAGTAATGACACAAGCACGATTGGTGCTCCAATTATTCTCAAAGCAGATAGACCAAATAGCAGAAAATTTCCAAAAAGACGCCTTTCAACTTTCCAATGATGAAATTCGGAAGGAATTGCATTGCATGCAAATGCTCTTTCATCCATTTCTACAAATTCTGCTTTTTGATTGGCCAGGGATATCCCCCCAGTATTTATTACGTCAGTAAACGGGTTTAATTTCAATTCAAAAATCTGAATGATTTAACGAGTACTTAACAAATTTCGACAATTTAAAAGATCGATTTAAATTTTAGCGCATTCGGTGCTTCTGCCAAAAGTCTATTTCTTCTGTTTTTGCGATCAGGAATTTTTATCTAAATTCATAGCCGAAAAACTTCGTCTCTGATTAGTAGAAAAAAGTCTTGTTCCTGATTAGCCGAAAAAATAGATTGCATGCCATGCAGGTCGAATGTCGAAAGTATTCGATAATTGTGCAGTGATTTCCGCTAATTTCGAATCTACCCAGGGCTAAAAACCGGACCAAAGTCAACAATATCTTCTCCCCCCACCCGTCCCCACCCGTCAATTCAGTTTCAGGGGAAAAAGTTCACTTATGAGATGCTTTAGTAGATGCCACGGGGGGGGGGAGGGGCGGCGGCAGAGATTGTTAAGTAGATTCCAATTAATGAAGGATGGGGGGGGGGGGGGGGTGGGATCTTATGCACAAAATGGCCCGAAATCAAAATCTTTATATCTTTTAGCTAAAATAAATGCGGCAAAATTTGATTGGCTAATATTAGCCAATCAAATTCAAGCAACATGGTCAGGCATGTCAATCAACTGTTCCAGCAGAAAAAATATTAGCCGAAGTAATTGAGAATGTGAATCTTTGTCAAATAATAAACCTAATTTCATGTTTTTTTTTGTGAAATTATACCCAAAGAAAAAAGTTCAGTTTTCAACGCGAAAAAATTTCTATCGTTTTGGTCATTTCGGCCAATAGTTTTTATCTTTAAATTTTAATTGAAATGCCGGACCATGTTGTTTGCATATGATTGGCTAATGAACCAATCAGATTCAACCATATATTGACTTAAGATCAAGATGAAGACCCGGGGGGTGGAGTGTGACTCACGTGGAAGTGGCAGACGCATTTGCTTCTGATCATGCTGTTCTCGTACTGCAACATCCGCAGAGTCTCGTTCAACTTCTGGTTGTCATCTTTCAGCGCCTGATTTTCCTGCAGATGGAAAAATAAAAATTAAAAATGAGACAAATTGGGTCTTGGATCTTGTTAACTATCCAAAATAACGCGAAGCAAACGACAAATAACGCACTTGGTCTCAAATTAACGAAATTTATGCGGAGAAAACAGCAAAAAAAATAGAGAAAAGATCCAGTTTTAGAATAAATTAAGTAAACTGTCTCGTTTTGACCAGTCGCACACTAATATACAGCCTTTCCTAGTAATGTCGATCCTCGTTTTGGCCCATGTGTGACCCACCCCCTATCTCTCCAACAATAAATAAAAGACAAGTAACAAAGTAAAAACCAAGTGAACAATCTCCCCACGAAATCAGTTTTTAGGGGGAGAGAGAAATAGTTGTTTCCATTTTTTTGGTGTAAAATTTTTTGTTTTTAATTTCCATGATTAATTGGAGGGAGATGCATAACCAAAAAGATCCTACAAATTTTATAAATGAGAATTTAAAATTGAGTTCAACTAGATTCGCCATTTTGAACATTTTGACTAGTTTTTGAATTCAAAATTTTGCGTAAGAAGGGAAAAGAAATTTTTTTTTTGCAAAAAAGGATCGTTTATTCTTAAAAATGCTGTGCTGATATCCCGAGCGTTGAATAATTTGAGAAGTTAACAAAAAATACGAGTATAAGACAATTATAAACGCCTTTGGGCTCATATTCATGAAAATTTTCGGAATAGAACGCCAAGAAAAAAAGAACATGAATGCTTGTATATCAGGGCGAGGCCCTGAATGTTCCGACTGAACTTTATTGCCAATTAAAAAGTTTTAGATTTAATTGACGGAATAATAAAAACAAAAGATTTTTTTTTTTCAATTTTTTCTACAGTTTATCAACCCCACCCACATGCTATCTAAGATACAAAGGGTCTTTTTAGCGTCTTCTATTGTTTTAAAAGAATAATTCAATATTCAATTTGGAACTCATTAATTTGCAGCTTACATGTGTTATAATGTAAATTGGCCAGTTCCCCCTTTCGAATTAGCAGACCCCTTATTTTGATGACAAGTGAAAAATCTTTTGAAACTTGAGCTTAGGAAAACAATATCTCTCAGAAGCTGTAAACCAATTTATATCTCCAGACAAACTTTGACTTTTTAAATAGCCTTATTTGACAAAACTTTTTTTAGCAGCCAAAAGCTATTTTTATCTTCAGATCGAAATAAAAAAATTTTTACCTGCGAATATTTAGGCTCTTTTCCAGTTCCCCCTTTCAAATTCAATTTTGAAAAGTCTATTTAACGTTGTCACAATGCAATGAAATTTGGCGTGGTGAACAAATCGACAACTGTGAACAGATTTGTTCTTCATACTTTAGAGCGTAACATCACGCATTTAGCCGTAATAACACATAAAACAAATATAAAACTCGGTATTTTGAAAAGGGGGTAAACTGGAAAAGAGCCGTTATTTATTTTCCGTAAAATTATGGAGGTTTAAAGATTGATAACTTTTTCCAATTTGAGTTATTAACGTGCGATTTATTTTGTGCTATTAACGGCTCTTAGAAATCATTCCAAATTGAATGAGGCATGCTATTTGATTTATTTAATACTAAGCTATATGCCAAATGTATTACTTTGTACTTTGCATAGCGTAAGGGGATATGATATTTGCAAAATAATCTGAAAATAAAAACTTTCAAATTTTTTTTTGAAAGTTTCGTCATTTTTTTCTAAAGCGAACTCTACACCATAGATTTTTAAGGCGCAGTGACAACATTCATGGCTCTGCCCTGATATGAACATTCTTGTTAGTATTATTGATCCACATTTGTTGTAAATTGTTCATTTTCTTTTTTCATTATTTAATTGGGTATAACCAAAAAATTAATTGATTTTGCCGATTTCGCTAGAATTTTTTTTGAAGTTTCCGAAAAACACTAATTTAAAAAAAATGATATTTTCTCATGACGATAGCCAAATTCTTGGAACTGATAAATGTGGAAAGGAAACATAAGTCGCATTTTAAGCAAAATAAAACAATCAAATATGTTCTTAAACTAATTAATTAGTTAAAAAATGCTTGACCGAATAATTTTACACAAAGTTTGAGAAGTTTGAGTCATTTGCCGCCCCATAAATTGTTTCATAACGAGTCGACATCCCTTGAAACAAGCAGGTCCGGCCAAAATTTTAGTAATTTCATTAAAGTTTTTTTAACATTTAAAACAATGTGGTCTCAAAATCGACCCATCAGAATTCTAAAAGATTTTTTATGGAGCTAATGCGACCAAATTTTTCGGGATGCTAGGGCTAATGGGAATTTTGAATATCGGGACTGTGCTAAATAAAAAAGACGGCAGGACATTCTGTTGCTGAGCAAATAGTAAATTACGAATTATAGTTTCATATAATACAAGTTTGAACCACAGTTGAAACCAAGGACAATAGCCTAGCGTATACACAGGACGTCCACTCGGAATCTTTGCAGGTTCGAATCCCGCCGAGGTTACTTCCTTTCTGCGTCCAATTCAAATGTGCGTGTTTTAGAAAGTAAGTACGCTCAATAACCAGGTTCGAGCCCCCCAAATGCCCTTTTCTGTTTTGTTTAGCTTTTTGAACTAGGTTCATAAAACGGCCTTGGCCGACCTTGATTGACAGGTTTTCGTCTGTCAAAAAAACTATGTTTTGCCAAAGTGTAAACGCACTCACACGCAAAATATGGGTGCTCTGTGACAGAATTTGAGTCTAAATGATAAATGCAAAAAAAAAATCCGTTACTTTGTACGAAAATTGCACTTTTGAGCACTTTTCTAAACGGCCAGAAGCAACAGAGCAGCACTCATTCAGACGACAAATTAGCTATGAAGACTTCAGATGATCTATTGGAATTTATGCAGTTTATGTTTCTCAGAAACACAATTGGGGAATTGTGAGCAGGGTCCTCTTAATTTTCCATCAAAATCGACTGCCATCGTCACAGCTACCGTCCTATTTGCGATCAAATTGCGATCAAACAGGGCGACAGTGGTACGAACGGTAATTGAATTCAGCAAATGTTTGCGACCATCAAAACAAGCATCTAATTTTACATCTAGCTAATGCATGAAGAAGACACTATCATTTTTATGCCCAAGCAACTGATTGATGTATCAGAATTGTTCTATGACTTGTAAAAGTTAAAAAATGACGGTGAAGCAGTATGTCCATCGTTTCCAAAAAAAAATAATTGGACCTCAAATATTAGACCCAAATATTAGAATTTAGAAGGACTTTTTGTTGATTGCCTTTTCATATAGGTCAACTTTGCGAGCTCTCTCAACAAAATTAAAAAATCGACTGCTGCAAACATAATCTGTGCCGCAGGAAAAGGTTTTCAAAAAGAAGCCAAAGGCACCTTTTGGGAACTTAGATAAGAAATAGCCTCTTTTTTGGCGCCCGCTCTCAGTATATTGTAAAATTCTAGGATAATCAGCAAATAATAGATGTCGCAAAAAAGTACCAAAAGGGCAATATAACTGACAAGTTTCTTGACAACCTTTACACCCAAAAATCTAGAAATGGACGACGAGTTTTTCTGTGTTTTACCCATATTATTTCACGAGTTTGAAAACTACTCAACTATCTTTGCAAACTTGATTTGACTAAAACATAACAAAAACCTAAATTAAAAAATGAATTGGACGAGCACCGTTTAATTTTTGTGTACACCAGGTTAGGCTGGTTGTTTTAACTAATTCCGTCAAAAAAGGAAAGACACCAGTGCCAAATCTCAACAGTGCTGAAAGACACAAATTGTACAAACTATGCCGAAATTAAAATCAAATCATTAGATTTGAGCCCATCTAGCTCTTTTTCACATTTTGGCCTTACAAATCCGGGTGAAACATGTGAAAAATTCCGAGTAATTTTCTCTCTCGTCAATCAAATTATCGACACCCTTAGTGAATTTTGCAAAGCCTTCTAACGCAATTTTACTGTTCTAAAAAGGGGTTCCAAAGAGTATTTCAGGCGATTCTCTTGGTAATTTGCCTGCTGTACTGAATTTATGGCAAAATAGGATCTTTTGATCCTTTTCGGAGAGCTTGGTTCATCCAGAAAGAGTTGGCATACAAAATGTTCCGAATAATTCATCGGTCCAATGGATTTCAATATTTGGACATTTCCACGGATAAAAATTGTCAAAAACATCAACCGTCCCGTGAGTACTGGATACAACCAAGCACAAAACTGGCTGATATTCACGCATATTTCTCTCAAGATTTCGACTGGAAACTGAATTATGATTTTAAGACTTATACTTTTGGAAGTCAGTCTAACAAATTTGAATATTCAGTCGGCGCGAGCTGGAAAATTAAAAACATACCCGCACTGAATAAAATGCTCCTGAATTGACTCAAGCCCGTTGTAAATTGAATTTTAATCTATCTAAATTGATCAAAACTGTACGCATTTAAATCATAACAAAAATTACGAATCGGTTTTACTGCCTTTGTATCTACTGAAATCCATCCAAATCTTACCGAAATTAGAGTAAATAAAATTTTGGAGTATTAAAAAAAAACTGCGCGTATCAGGGTGAAGCCCTGAATGTTCGAACTGCCTTTTTAAGGGATATGCAGAAGTAGTCACATGAAATGATTCAAAAAGTCGAAATATTATCGAAAAAAATATTATGTTTCCAGCACGGCTTGAATGCCTTATTTTGGACCCTTACTCAAATGTAATACAGATGTTTTGGATTTTTGTTCCGACTCTCATAACGAAAGTAACGGAATATTTGTGCTCGTGTGGGTTCTTTTTCTTCGGACAAATTTTGACTTTTTAACTAGCGATTTTTGACGGAATGTGTTCTGTCATTCGAAAGGTATTGTAGTCCTAAGCTTGAATTTGAAAAGATTTTTCACCTGTGATCATTTTTCGTACAATTATGGGGGTTTAAAGATTGCCATTTTGGCCAATTTGAGACAATTAACGCGCGATATATTTCGAGCTATTAACGCGTAAGCGGAGATTTAATCCGTAGAAATCGTTCCAAATTGGTTGAAAGGAGTTTATTTGCTTAATTGATTTGTTACTAGGAGTGAAATCAATCACTTTTTACTTTTTATGGCATGTTATAATTGTTTTCATGTTATAACTGCTCCATAGACCTTAAAAGGCAGTCGGAACATTCAGGGCTTCGCCCTTATACGAGTAGTCGTGTTTTGTAAGACAAATATTTAGGAGGTGATAATTAGTAACTTCAAAGAAATTTTTTTAAATTCGAGTTTTAAGATGAGAAAATATGATTTTTTTTCTAGTACAACATCAGCACAAGAGCTCAACAAGTCAAGAAAGTTTGTATATAATCTGTATACAATGATAAGTTTAAACAAGAAGGATTATAATTGATTTAATCTACTTAAATATCATCAAAATAAGGCTGGGAATTTCTACTTATCGACTTTTGAATTGAGTATTTACAAGCCTTGATTCGACCATGTTTAACACATGATTCTATTTTGTTCGACACTTTTGACACTGTTTGACTCATGATTAAATTTTGTGCGACCCAAGCCTTCTTTCGAGTGCTTCAACTTTTTGTCTAAAAGCGGGCACCATTACACCGTTTTGTCGAATCATGAGTTGAGCACCCCGGATCAAGTTAACATCCCCCCCCCAAATAGACCAAATTAAGATCCTCCACCCCAGCGCTTAATTTAAATTAAATTTGCTAAGCGCTGCATGGAAAATGCTCGATTCTGATTGGCTAAAAAATCCCAACTTAGAATTAAGTTAACATCCTCCCCCCCCCCCCCCCCCCAAACGGCTTGGGGGGGGGGGATGTTAACTTGGTCTAGCACCGTGAAAGAAAAAATTCTAGAATTAAGTCTTTTTAGAATTCATTTAAATTAGTTTTCTTGGCATAAATTTTAGGTCAATTCAAATCGATTTTTAGTCAATGTAAATCAATATTTTTGTATAAATCTTTTTTTTGTCAATTAATTGGCTTTCAGCTTTCAATGTCAGTGCGGGTGTCAACGCATGCAGGTTCAGATATCGTGTTTCAAATACTACTGCTATTTCATGCAGTTTTGTTCTAACTACTCGACTTCTAAGCAATGATTGCGACTTACGCTTAGCAAATGACTGAATAAGGCTAGTTGCCTTTGTTTCTGTTCCTAAAAATGGTTAAACACTCCATTAATTTATCAGGAATAATTGTTATTGTAGAATCGAACTCATTAATGAACTAAAAATAAATAAAAATTGAAAAAAGGTGCCATTTAACGTTTTTAAGAGCGTTTCAATAGTTTTTGAACAATTTTGCTGTACCATGCTATATGTTTCGAAAATTTTCTAAGCGCCAGTTACATTTTGCATTTTGTTTTAAAAAAATTTTTGATTGTGTTTCGAAATTTAGTGTCTTTTTCTTTCGAAATTTTTCATTTTTTTTTCACAAAAGTATTTTTTTCAAAAGTATTTTTTTTATAAAGAAAAGGGTTGGGAGGAGGGTACAAAGAGGTGTACGTTTAACCAGTAGAGCGATCTATTGGATTTAAGACGTTAACTATTTTTTCTCTGCTTAATGAGACAAATGAAAACGGGGCGTGCTGGCTTAATGGTGTTCGTTCTCCCGTACAATCTAGATTTGTCTTTGTAATTTTTTATGAATAACTCTGTAACTAGATATCGTTTCGAAACAATTTATTATGATTACTTTTTTATTATGGTTTCTGAATTTTTATTATTAAAGTTTCCAAATATTTTTTTCAAAATGGTCCAAGTTTTTTAAATTTCCAAAATTTTACCACATTTGTTCAGAAATTTCAATTTTCTTACCTGCCCTAGTCTCTCACATGTATCGCTCAGTGTTTTTCTCTCATTTTGAAACTGCTCTGATTTGTCCTTCAGGTCTTTATCTTTCGTTTCCAAATCATCTTTCAATTGCGTCAAGCTTTCTTCCAATTCTCTAACATGCTGCCTTAATTGGTCGACTTCTTCGTTCAAGTTGTTTTCAACAAGGTTATAGACATCATTTATGTCAACGCAGTTTGAACGCTGCAAAGATCCGGAGTCCTTTGCCGACGTTGAGGATCCAGATATGCGGCTCCTGCCGATGTTGTCGACTCCTGGCGACGCCAGAGACGGCGGATCCCCGTCGACCAGGTGTTGCTCGGAGTCAGTTATTACGACACCAATTGGCGACGCTTTCAACGTTGCTTCGCGACTCATGTTAGCTCCGAACGCCTGAGCACCGCTGATACTTATGTCATCGGAATCATTTTCAGAGTCGCCATCATCGATGATTGTACTTTTATGGGAAGCACGCGTGAATTGATTGCTGTGTTCACACAATTCGGTCTTGCGACTGCTAAAAGCAGCTGTGATTTTACTGTTTTCTGTGACGTCTGATAGTGCTGTTATACTGCAAAGAACCGATCGAACAAGTTGGTTTGTTTTTTCAGCGTAGAGCTCTAAAAATAACACATGATGATGACTTGATGTTCGAATACAAACAATATGTGAAAAGTATTTACAATCTCTAAGGACAAAGTAGTCTGTTTTATAAAATAGTAATGCTGTGATTTTCTGATTGGAAATTGAGCTGAAAATGTTTGTTCGATCGATCAGAAAGTAATCGTCTTATACCTTTTATCACGCGTGATATCTTTTCGAATAGTTACACTAGCCCGAGTTTTTGAATTTGTGAGTTCTCAACGGTTTTCGACGTCTTTGTTGAGATATAGTATTTCTTAGAATCGATTTGAGAGAGTACTATCATCCTAAATTTCCTGAGAGCGCCACTGGCTATGAAAGCAAATTGACTCCAGCTCCAGATTTTTTCCCAGACCCCGATTTAGCCTAATTTTTGATTTTAAAAAAAACTTAGGTTATTTACCGCTAAGTTAAAAATATATAATAAACGAAACCTTTTACATCGTCCAAAAGCTCTTTCACACTTTGTACTTCAGAGTCTAAGGTCACATTGAACAGTTCTGGATCCAATTCCAGCATCTCATAAATGACACTATTAGCCAGAGAAGACCGGCTCGAACTCTGCATTTCACGTGACATATAACCCCCGTATACTCCAGATGTCATAGGTTGAGCTTGCATTCCGAAGAGCCGACTGTCACTTAGTTGCCAGCTGAACATCCCGACACCACCCATCGACTGTGGAAGAAGTCCGCCGGGTATAGTCCCCCCTCCGTTAACACTTCCCGGTCCGCCCGAAAAACCACTGCTAGGTATCCCGTGAGTTGCCTGTTGCGTTCCGGGAGGACCCGGTGGCGATTGTGTTGCCGGATTAGGCAGCGAGATGTCAGAATATCTTCGTGTGTGTAGTGAGTTCCAACTTGCGTGCTTCGCGATCTTCCCACCGCCGCCGCCGCCGCCCACGGATCCAGTCGGAGACGAGGAGCTTTGGTGTTGTTGTTTAGGCGAAGATTGATTCGAGGAGGAAGAGTTGTTAGGCTGGAATAGGCGGGTGGTTGATTTCCGGTCTGGAACTGGGGGAGTTTGCAGCTTGCTCTGAGAAGAGAAATGATGGCCTTGAGTCTGCCCAACGGGTGAACTGTTCATCTAGAAAAAATAAAGCTAATACTAAGACGGCATCTTGTTAAACTATTACCTTTTCCGGGTATCGAGCTCAATCGCATATTTTCGAATAAAGGATTCGGAAAGAGGGGATACGATCTAGGATTTTCTCGAGGGGGTGGGGGTGGATTTGAAAAGAAATCGAAAACTTTGTCGACTTTGATTAAATTTAAATTTTGCTATAAAATATACTATGCTCATACAAAAAATTGCTGAGAAAAAGACGTTGGTGGATTTTGTTTTTCAAAAAGAAACACTAAACAAGGAAGCAAAATGGGTGTTTTGGATTTGGGCTTTTACCATAAAAATCGAAAAATTATTATTCAAAAAAAATCAAACTTGTCATTTAGTGAGTTTTATCTTGAATTTTTCAATAAAAAAACAAAAAAGTTTAGTTCAGTTTGGAAAGGTAGATATGGGAGGTTTTTCATGACGCCAACCGGAGAAAAGTTCATCGATTTACTAAATTTCTTTGATTAGTACTGCGAATGTACTAATATATGTATATTTTTTTCAATATTTTTTTGCAAACTTTTTGAATTTTTGAAATTTTAGATTCCCAAAATGACAATAAAAATCTTTAAAAAAATCTACTCGAGTAAAACTAAAAATATGCATAAAAATTTTTAGTAAACGGCCTAAATTCAGCTTTACTCGCTCGAGTTTAGACAAAAATCTAAAATTTCAAACCGATTTTTCTCGACACCAGGAAAATTTTTGGGAATTTGTTAGGGTGATTTAAATCACGACTGAAAAGGCTTTTTAAGGATATATCACTCAACCCAGTCCAATAATAATTTGTGGTACCCATCTTCGCATTGAAAACAAAAAAAACAGAGAGAGAGAAAAAAAAAGAAAAAACATCCGAATACAAAGTTCTTCCCGAATTGTCATTGAATAATTGAAACGAATTGTCATAATAATTCACCGTTAAAGTTAAATAATAGAGAAAACTGGACCAGGTGCCATCTCCTAATTGAGTGTAAGAGTGACGAAAAAGGCAAGACTGCTCGCATATCAGGGCGGGGCCTGAATAATCGGAATCCACTTTAAGGCCAACCAATTTTGTTGTTGATTATTTGACGAAATAATCGAAAAAAAAGATTTTTTCTTTAATTTCACCTACTACATGCTACGTAAGATACCAAGGGTGTGTTTAGCGTATCATATTGTTTTAAAACGAATAAATTGCAGCCCTCGCTTCAACTTGGAACGCATTAAATAAGCTTACGTGTGTTATATCACGCGGTTATTATCCCAAATTGACCCAATTAGCCATTTTCAAACCTCCGTAACTTTTTGAAAAATGATCACAGGTGAAATATATTTTTATATTTAACCTCTATACAACAACATCTTTCAGTTGTTATTAAAAAATTTTTATAAATGCGTAGGTGAGAAGACGAAAATTGAATGAATAAAAATCACCGCAAACATAAAAGCTCGAAAGTCGGAACAAAAAAAACTTTTTCGAATTCCGAAAAGCATTTTAAAAACAATTTGCTAAGAGTTCTGGAGTAAAGAAAAATGTGTCTGTAAAAATTAAACCTTTAGCAAGAATAACTGCGAAAACTTCTAAAATTGTTAGCGGCATCCATCAAACGATTTTACTAGAGGGAGGTGATAAACTTTTAAAAACTAACAATTACTAAAACTAACAATTAAAAACTAAAAACTAGCAATTGGAAAAACATTTATGTTAAATAAGCCACAATTAAACCTATTTTAAAGTTGAGAATTAAATAAATGATTCCAAATGTTATCCAATCTGAATTACTTTTTCGTTTTTGATACACCTAATTGCTCTAACCTTCACCCTAAATCAATTAAGGTACGAAATTAGTCTCAAATTTAAAAAAAAAATTCATTCAATCAGAATTCTTCTGCATTCGGCATGTTAGTTTTTTTGATGAAGTTTCCTATTGAATTCTCGATGTGATCTTTCACATGGTTATTTCAGAATGGAAAATGGTCGTAGGGACCATAAATCTTTATACATTAAATTTAATTCAACAAAACTGTGAAAAAGCACTCCCTATTAATTTTGCAGCGATGATGTATAAACTAGCCAAAGTACAATCTATCTACCAAGCTAGCCATAAATGTATAAATGGTGAGGCAAAATTTGGCGACAATCGGGGGCATTTCAGAATGCGGCAATTCGCGGTAGAGCAATGAAGCATAACAAATAGAAATTTACTTTGAACTTATTGTTCCGACTTTCGATACGAAAGTAACGTAATATTTGGGCTGGGGGTGGGTTTTTTTTCTTCAGACAAATTTCGACTTTTTAACTAGCCATTTTTGACGCAATTTTTTTAAATATCATTCAAAAAGTATTGTTGTCCTGAGCTCAAAATTGAAAAGATATTTCACCTGTGATCATTTTTTGTAAAGTTATGGGGGTTTAAAGATTGCCATTTTGGCCAATTTGGAACAATTAACGAGCGATATATTTCGCGCTATTAACGCGTAAGCGGAGAGTTAATCCGTCTTAAAATCGTTCCAAATTGGTTAAAAGAAGCTTATTTGCCATAATTGATTGGTTACAAGGAGCTAAATCTATCTTTTTGCACTTTAAATGGCGTGTGGGGGGATGATTTTCATAAAAGTTTTAAATTAAAAAAAAATTTTTTTAAATTTTATTACATTTAATTTTTTAATGTTATTACTGCTCCATAAAACATTAAAAGGCAGTCGGAACATTAAGGGCTTCGCCCTGATACGAGCAGTCTTGTTTGATTTAGAAATGCACAACAACTAAACAACCTGGCATTAGAGTGATGCACTTTATATGGAATGTTCCGCAAAACTACTCAGTGATTATTCCTGAGTCAGTTGATTTGCGGCGAATAGTCGCTTGCTACGAACTGTCGCCATGCCGGTAAATAAGTAACAATATTTTAACAGTTCGAAAAATAACCGTTCGATCGGTTCAAATAATCTGTAGATTTTTGAACTGGTTTATAAATTAGCTGGTTCCTTTACACTTTTGTTCAGCATCTCAACTATACCGGGTTGACCAAAAACGCTAATCTTATAACTTTCATATCTGGAAAAATGCTAGTCATACAGTTTTCATTCAATTCCATCGATACAGAATATTGCATGAAAAGTCTATGATTAGTCATTTCTTATATATTTTATCACAAAGTTGTTTGACTAGCATTTTTCCATAAACCAAAAAATTTGATTTTTTTGCATTTTTTTTCTCAAAAATTTTAGGTTGTGTTCGGCACTGAAAAAAGAAAAAAATGACAAAAACCTTGGTTTTCTCAAAAGTAGTGCCGCCAAAACTTTGAACGTCTGGCATTAAAAGTTTTTTGGAAACGTGCCTTATTGTGGCAGAGTGCCTTATTGTGGGAAACGTGCCTTATTGTGTCTTATTCAAATGATATGATGAAAGTACTACACTTCAAAGTTTTTGCAAAAATATCTAAGTTCATAATTTTTTTCAATTTAAATTTTTATTAATCAGGCATTGATGAGGCCAAAGACAAACGTGTTCAACAAAAAAGGCGTGTTGCGCATTCTTGAAAAAATGAATCATAACAATTAGAAATTTAGCTTGAAATAGTTTGATTTAGTTACGCACAGCAAACAAACGACCATCCATTAGCTTGATGCAATTGATATGGAATGTTCCGCAGACTACTCAGTGATTAATCCTGAATCAGTTGATTTGCGACGAATCGTCGCTTGCTACGAACTGTCGCCATGCCGGTAAATATGTAACAAATAGTAAACAGTTAGGGGAGTAACAGTTCGACTGGTTCATCGAATCTGTAGATTTTTGGATTGGTTTATAATTCAATTGGTTGTGTTCAGGGGCGGATCTAGGATTTTTTCGAGGGGGGGGCGGTTCAAAAAAAATTCCAAAATTTTGACGACTTTTTTTTTTTAGGTCGACCAAATTGATTTTTCGAGCTCTCCCAAAGCACTGTTTTGCCCCTTTTTTGGCAAAATTTTTTGCGCCGCAGGCAAATTTTTGAAAAAACAGTCAAAACAGCCGTTTTTGGGCACTTTTTGAAAAATTTTGACAAAAAAATAGCGTTTTTTTTGGCGCGCGCTCCCCCTCAAAGTTAGTATATATTGGCGCCTAAGGCGCCTTAAGAAAAATTTTAGGGTCGGTCGGCCAAAAATGGATTTCTGAAAAAGTATCAAAAGGGGGACCCTTTGGGTCGGCAGGGGGTCGAATCCCTGAAGGGGAGGAGGCGTCCGCCCCCCCGCCCCCCCCTAAATCCGCCCCTGGTTGTGTTTATAATTCAGCTCCATAGACCAAAATATTCTATTTTCGGTCTATGGAACTCAACCCAGGAGGATGACTTGGCCAAAAATAATAGTTTGTTCCCACTTTTCACGCAATTATCACATGCACACCTCTTTGTACTTGACTTTGAAAGTCAAAAAATTATATGATCATCTCAACCCGGGCAATTTTCAAAACTTTGCAAAAGGCAATCGAACAATTATTTAAAAAAACTTCTGAACTCCACTTGAAAGATCAACTAGTTCAACAAAAAACTAAATGCAAAACGAATCTAATAAAATTAGCTGCAACAGTTTACTAACCTAAGTTGAGGCTGAATAATTGTCTGTCGTTAGTTTTCTTGTTTCAAGACAAGCCACGCCCACAAATAAAAAAAAGTTTGCCCAATAGACGACTTCAATCTTCTTTCATTGCTGGAATAAAACTGCAGCTCGATCAAGTTTTTATCGTAATTACAATTACGTCACATCTAGCTGACGTTACGTAATGGGTTATGTAGAAAAAATGTCTCTTTCTTTCTATAACGAATGCACTTGTACGGTTTCGAAACAAGAGGGTAACGAAAAAGATAATACAAACCCGTTAGTTACGCGCAATTGAACTAATTTAATAACCCGCCTTGTTCTGATAACGTTATGGTCTGGTATAAGATATAAGCATACAGGTTAGGGATAGTTGCATTAAAAAACCATCCGTTCAAAACAGGAAGGATAGCACTGCTGGATTTCAACAAAAATGGTATAAAATGCGGATTCTAAATGTCACAACATGATATAGATTTTTGAGACGGAAACATTTCCATCAAAATTGGACCTCAAGCTGAGAAGAACTCGTTAGGTGCAACTGATATGATGCAATTTAGAAAAAAGTTAATTTCATCTAAATCGATGTTCAAGAATAAAAACAACAAATCTTGATATTGTTTTCAACAATTGAATCAATATTTACAATATGATTCATTTATATTTGTTTCAAAATTAACGGATCTCAAAAAATAAATAACGTTTTGTTCATAAAATTATTAAATTTTAATTGTTTCGAATTCTTCGAGGTTTTGAAATACTTTTGGGTTCAACGTGCCATTAAAACGATTTATGCAAGATTATGAAGATTTAAAGATCACTTTATAAATAGTTAACGAATAGATTTCTCATTCAAGTAAATGGCTTCAAATAATTTCAAAAACAAATGGATGAAACACCTTTAGTTTCTGAATTTTCAAATAAAGTGTAAATAATGTTCATTTCAAGTTCGGTTTATGTCTTGCAACAAAACAATTTGAACCACTTAATTGGTCTCTATTTGCAGAACGAAAGGTCACATTAATGTGGGTACATAGGTTAGTTATAAGTAAGTTATAGCCGACAAATAACCCATGATTGTTTTCTGTATTTAACATGTCATGATATATCTTTCTCAGTTGGTACAGTACTTTTAAGTAGGATGGTTCTAGCTTCTAATCTCTAAACGAAGCTTGATCAAATTGGAACAACAGGATTGCAGACTCTACTGAGAAGCCCAAAAATAGAAACCTTAAAACGAGTTTTTGCTATAACAAGGCCCATATGAACAAGTTCCCTCTTAAAACCCTTTAACCAATGGGAAGGTGAGTTTGTTCGGCCCTAAAAATAACAGTAGGGTTGGATAGTATAAACCTAACATGCTAATTTTAAGCAAAGAACGCAACCTGGGTTTCTAAAAGATTTGAGCGGTTTGAGCGGTTTTCCAGCAAGATTTGAGCGGTTTGAGCGGTTTGAGCGATTTGGGCGGTTTTTTTTGGAAAAACCGCTCAAACCGCTCAAATCTTGCTTCAAAAACCGCTCAAAAACCGCTCATTTCTTGCGGTGATTTTTGAACGGTTTTTCAAGCAAGATTTGAGCGGTTTTTGAGCGGTTTTTGAGCGGTCTTCTCGGGTCGAGGTCCCAGACTCATGTCCATACTTTCGCGACCGAGGTGGAGCAAACTAGTTTCAAGCTCAAAGTGCGCTGTTTTTTTTTTGAGATTTTGTTCCTGGTTGATACTTCTTGGCTTTCTCACTCCTCTCCCTCCCAGTGAGAGTTTTCAAAGTTCTGTTTTCTTAGTTTAGTTGTTTCAAACGTTAAAAAAATAAACGCAGAAAACTTTCTTGTAAGTTAGCTGGAAAAATTATTGTCTACGTTTTTTAATTCGTTGAACATGTCGAACTTCTTTAGCTTATGAAGTAGTTCAAATGTTTTTCCAAACTGAAATTCTAATGTAGAAGATGCGATTGTGTAGAATAATAGTAAGCTGCGCGACACTATTTTCAGGGCAGCATGGGCTAACGGATAATGCGTCTGACTTCAAATCAGATGATCGGAGGTTCGAATCCCTCTGTGTTCGAAGTTTTATTATTAAACCTTGCGCGGTTTATGAGCGGTTTTTTTAGATAAACCGCTCAAAACCGTTCAAATCTTGCGCGGTTTTTGAGAGGTTTTTTTAGATAAACCGTTCGAAAACCGCTCAAACCGCTCATTTTGAAGCAAGATTTTGAGCGTAATTGTCTAAAAAAACCGCTCAAACCGCTCAAATCTTGCTTCAAATTGGGTGAAAAATCTCGACTCGGGCTGCGTATTTGGACACGACGCAAAAAAGTCTCCGAAAAATCAGTGATTAGAAGTCCAACATGATTCGTGCTCTTTGCTTGTTTGCTTCAGGGATAGAAAACAAACTTTTTCTTCCCAGAAAGTAACAAAAAGTGTTCACGGATGTCCTCAAGAAGAACACAGAGAGCGGTTCGCCTAAAGGAGCTGAGCAGCTCGTATATGTTGGTCCATTCCCTACTAAATAAATATAAATAGTTCTCATAGTTCTCTCCCCCCCCCCTCCCTCCCCCGAACCCTCCTCACATACGCACCGATTTATGCTGTAACCACGGATTTTACAAGGTTAAAAATGCAGACAAATTGTCTGTCATGGCCTAATTAGTCTGCATGTCAATTTTTCGCCGAATCTGTCAATGTGAACTAAAAAGTTAAAAATTCGCAGGTGCGGCGTGGGGGGGGGGGGGCTTATGGAGGTAACACTAGATTAAATGATTATGGCTGTAATTGAATTTTTAAGGGTGATCAGCTGAGGTAAACAAGTGTATTCGGGATTGTTTTTGTTGCGATCCTAGAATTGTCTAATTAAAAAATCGGGATTCAAAGTTAATTGTGCAAAAACAGAACAAAACGCGTAATGAAGATGATATCTCTGATAGATTTTGATTGTGATAGGATATTGCTGTTGCGTCATAAAATAATTGTTTTAAGTGTAAGTTCTAAAGAATAATGACTTCGATTCGAAACTTATATTTGCCGTAAAATCTATTATAATACATTACGAACCCTCCTTCTCAGTTATGAGTCACTTGAACTGGCGATTCAACTTTAAAAATACTGAACCGAAATGAAAACTATTCAAACCTGCTATTTTAATAATCTCCGATAAATTTGAGGTTTCGACGGAGATTAATAAATATTGTTGCATATGGCTGTTTCATTATCATTTTGAATGTTCATAACACCCCTACCCGTTATAAAACGAATTTTTTTTTACTAGGTATCAAATCCGCTACGCGGATGCCCTTCCTCAGGGATTCGACCCCCTGCCGACCCAAAGGGTCCCCCCTTTGGTACTTTTTAAGAAATCCACTTTTGGCCGCCCGACCCTAAAACTTCTCTGAAGGCGCCTTTGGCGCCAATAGATACTAATTTTGAGGGGGGAGCGCGCGCCGAAAAAACGTGATTTTTTGGTCAAAATGTTCCAAAAAGTGCCTAAGAACGCCTTTTTGGACTGTTTTTTCAAAATTTTGCCTGTGGCGCAGAAACTTTGGCCAAAACAGGGAGTATACAGTGCTTAGGGAGAGCTTCAAAAATCAATTCGGTCGACCTAAAAAAAAGTTCGACAAATTTTTCGAAAATTTTCGAAGATGTTTTGAAAATCCGCCCCCCCTCAAGAAAATCCTAGATCCGCCCCTGATGGAGATCCCAATTTTTCTACAAATTTGACATTCAAGACTATTTAAGATCAAGTAGATCAGAGAAATTTTCAGTTACAATTTAGCAAAGAAGAAATGGTTACTGTGCAAAATTCGGGCACCTTTAATTTTGCACCTTCTTTTTTAGAGAAAACACGACTGCTAGTAAATCAGGGAGACACCCTGAATGTTCTGACTGCACATTGAGGCCAATTAAATTGTGTTTTCTTGAAAAATTGACGAAAAAATTGAAAAAAAAGAAGAAGAAAACCATTTTTTTTCGTCATTTTTTTTTCAATTTAGTCCCCCACACGCTGATATGAACTACAAAAGAATGCATATAGCGTCTTTCCTAATAATGAACAAATGGCTTGCCTCAACTCAGTTTGGAAAGCATTAATCCGCCACTTACGCGTGTTATAAGAACGCTATGTACCGCGCTCCAATTATCCCAAAGCAATTAGCAATTTTCAAACCCCCATAATCTTACATAAGATCATCATGTGTGAAAATTGATTTTACGTTTGAGCTCCGTATAACAATATCTTTTAGATAGTAAAACAAATTTTTGTCAAGAATGCATAATTAAAAATTCGAAAATTGACTGAATAAAAAAACTTGAATTGACTAAATAAAAAATCTTCGAAAATCGGAACAGAAAAAACTGCTTGTTCTTTATGACAAAATCATGAGTTTTCCGACTTCATTTTGGAACCAATTCAAAAATTTTGCTAGAAGAATTGATAAAAAACGAGAAAAAAGTCACGGTTTATAACAGAACTTTTATCAATTTTTGGTGTAATGTTAATGAAAAAACAATAAAATTTTACTGATTCCTGCTTTAAACATAATACATTTTTAACAAACAGAGCTGACGCACAGAAATGTTGTAATAAAACTCAAATCTTTTATTTTTTGAAATTTGCAGCTGAAGTTTTTTGAAATTTGCAGCTGAAGTTGCTTTAAATTGGTACCATTGTTGGCGTTTACTAAATACTTGCTTCATTGTTGTCCCTGATGAAAAAAGTTAGTTTTCTCCTAATGGCCAGTTATTGTGAGATAATGAAGATTTTTCATCTGAAGTTTTTTTTGGTTGAAAAACTTTCTTGAACGCAAATTTTTCTCACTAAACATTCGATTGCTAATTTAAAGTTAAATAATTTCGTTTGAAATGTATATCAACAAAAAAAAACTAAATGATTTGCCTCAATTCAATTCGGAGAAATATAACCTAGACTTTGTTCGAAAAACGCATTTTATCAAGCGTTACTTTTAAACTCTCTTGACCGTAAAAAATACTATCAAAAACGCTTAGTTAAAAAGTGGAAACTGAACTGATTAAAATAACTAACCCAAGCATATAAAATTGGTACTTCTGCCACAGTTTAAAAAAATCATTTTAACAATTGTAAAAGACACAAGCATTCCCTGTTTAAATAAGATATTTGTATTACCGCAAATTGATTCCCGCTTTAAATTGGTTTGCAAACTGGAAAAATTTACCATTTTTGTCCACAGTGACAGAATAATTTGAATTTTTTTTGGAAATTCAACTGCAGTTGGAATTGCTTTTAAATGATATCATCCTTTACTCTTGCCTCTTGCAAAAGTTTTGACACCCTGTTGATCCTTATGAAAACGTTTTTGATCTCTTTTTTGTCACCCAAAATCGAAATGCTTTCAGCTTTATTTTCATCTTCGAATTAAAATAAAGAAACTTTTTGAAAGCAAAACTTTTTTCAACAAAGAAAAAAAAAGTACTGAAAAATCAGTACGTTTGAAAACTTGCTTATATCCTCAATCATGCAATCACGCAACCATGCAACAATTTTTGTTGCCAATTTGCTAGCCAAACAGCCAGAAAGATTCTAATTGCGTATGTTTTTTGATCTCAATTAAGCCCAATCAACAACCTAATCAATCAGTTCGCGAAAAGACAATTTTAAATTTAAACACATCAAAATCTTCTCGACTCGTGATGCATACACAAAATGGAACAAGACTGCTCGTATCAGTGCGAAGCCCTGAATGTTCCGACTGCCTTTTAAGGCTTATGGAGCAGTTATTTTAAATAAAAAAAAATGTAAAAGAATGAAATTTTTTTTTTCAAAAGTTTGAACTTTTTTTAATGAAAATCATCCCCC